ATCCCTCCCTCTCTCTATCTCTCTCTCTCTCTCTCTCTCTCTCTCTCTAATGAACGATTTCAAGCGCTAAACCACAGCTGCATCGTAAATGCGATAATGTTATCAATTCGCGAACGACGTCTGCAAATATGTTGCTGGAAATGCTTTTTAACTAGCACTCACTTACAGTTATGTATGTATGTACATTATATGTATTGACTCATCTATCTAGTCGTTTCTTTTTACCGTTACTTTTCACATTTCCTTGAAAATGAAATGATAAAACAATGATAAGAATATATATATATATATATATATATATATTTAATATATCGATGTATGTATATTCACTGAATGATACAGATTTATATATAAGAAATGTGATTTATATATATATATATAATGATAATATAATATAATGTATCTGAGAAATGCAAAGGGAAAAAAATTTATATGCCAGTTTATACTTTTACGAAAATAAATCAATTGTTAATTGTTAATTGTACATAAAATATATATTTTTTCATTCTAATCAAACCTTATAGAAACATCTAAATCATAGAAGAAAAAAAAATCAGACATTTATTAGATAGACATTACTTATCGATCGATTATGTAACATATAAAATGTAATATTTAATTTGAATAGCTTAAATAAGAATAATTAAAATGTATACGAATGAAAATCTATAAGAATTAATAAGAATAATAAAGAAAAGAATTCTTTTTTTTCTTTTTTCAATGCGTTTCACGAAGAAATTCATTTAATCGACAATATTCCATCCATCAAAATACATTTGGCAATGTATAAAATTTATGTATTTCAACGTTTAATTAAAATCAAATGGGAAATATTTTCGATACTCATTGAAATATTCGGCCATTCGCTCGATTATACTTACGACGAATTAGATTTCGATATATCGTAAGTAGTATCGACCCAAATCATATCACTTGGAGGTTGTTGCATCTGGAAATGCATCAGGCTAACGATGACTTTACTAGTTATACTATTATTATTATTATTACTATTATTATTATTATTATTATTATTATTAAAAAATTAAAGCAATCGATTTATCTTTACTCCTGACATTTCATCTGAGAGGTCAAATGTCAAATGCAAAAATTACATATTCGGGAATAGGCTTAAATCTACAACTTCGATCATCGTAACATCACAAGCTTGCAACTTAAATCACTAATTGAGTACGACTGATTGTGCTTCCCCAACAATTATCACCAAGATCAAAGAACAAATCACGTATAAATCTTTTATCAGCTATAAATCTATATTCCAATAAATTTAATATCGAAATATTCGTAACTCGTAACATAATTTTGATTGCATGATATATATTAAAATCTGCTTATTTCATTCTCATGTGCATCTTCGTTCAGTGCAGTTTTAGTATTCTCCGCAATTGTCATTTCCTATTCCTTTGGTGATTGATTTTAAAAAAGTTCTAATTTAATGATTTGATTTCATGGAAATGAAAAGAAATAATAAAAGAAAAAAAAATATATATATATATATATATATATATATATAAAATTCTGAATTGAACATTTTTAATTTAATTAAAAATTCTTTTAGGTTTCTTTAGATCTTATTAATGTTTAAGCGAATGTATTATCGTTTAAATATTATTTTATTTTATTCCGCTTACTTATATGTTTAATTGTTTAATTAAATTGTTTAATTAATTATAAAATTATCAATAATATAAATTAATTTAGCTTAGCCGTTCGGAAAGAGAAGAAATACTCCGACGTTTACTCGTTGGAACATAAAAGAAATATTACTACGTTAATTATCAAAGTTAATCAAAGATTTGTTTTCATTGATATTCAAAACAATCAATGATTCATAGTTCAAAATTCAATCGTATTGTTATATATAAATAAAATTTATTTTGTATTTAACACACAATTCTATACTAATGTAATGTTTAATCGTATATATTATTATTTAAATATTAGTTTATTCGATTACTTGTACATTATAGATCGTTTAAATAATTATAAAATTATTAAAAGATATTGATTATTTTAATCTTAAACGTTTCGAAAGGGTGAGAGAAAGAGAAAGAGAGAGAGAGAGAGAGAGCTTTGATGTTCGTTCGGCAAAATGCGAAATGAAACTGGATCGATAAACGACCGAAGCCAGTCATACGTTCGTTTTTGTTGATATTAAATCTAGCCAACGACCCGGAGGTCAAAATTTGTATTTTATTGAAATATTAAATTGAAATTATTTTATATTAAACGCACGTTACGAGCTACGTAATGTTTAATCAAACGTACTATCGTTTAAATATTGATTTATTTTATTCCACGTTATTCATTATTCATCGTTTAAACAATTACAAAATTAAGAAAAGTATTGATTCTTTAATTTTTAACGTTTGAGAAGAAAGTTCTTCGATGTTTACTCGTAATGTAAAAAGAAAATCATTATTCATTGGTCATCAAAATTAATCGAAGGTTTGTTTTCATTGATATTAAAAGGAATCAACGATAACATATTGACAATTTAATTCTATTGTAATATTAAATTTAAATTAATTTCTAATTTTTTTTTTCCTTTCCTTTTTCTTTTCTTTTCTTTCCTTTTTTTTTCCCACGCGTCTTACGAGTTACGTAATTTTTAAACGAATGTACTATTGTTTTCATATTATTTTATGGTAATTTATTTAGATTGCACATCATTTAAATGATTATTAAAATTATTCAAAAAATTAAATATTATTTGTAATACTCATTAAAACGATCGATACTATTTGCTTATTTTTATCATACAATCGTATTAAAATGTTTAATTGAAATTCTTCAATATTTAAAGCATTTAATAAAAGAGCTATGTATATAAAGCCAAACAAAATCTATCGACTTGGATTATTATAAATTATTTTTAAATAATTAATAGACATTACTATAACTCTATACGTTATCTTAAATCAATGTAAAAGATTGTATTAACGTGTAAGCGTCATGTTTGAATAAAAGATCTATGTGTATTTTATTTCTTTGTTTTTCTTTTTTCTATTTTTTTTCCCTTTTTTTAACGAATTACGCAAACTTACATCTTATAAATTAACATTACGTAATTATTAATATTATCTTATTAATATTATTAATGATATTGTATTCTTGAATGTATAAGAAAAATATTCTCTTGGTAATTTAAAACACCGACGGAGATTCGATTATATAAGCAGCCATGAAAATTTATCTTTTTTTCCGATCGATCATATCTACAATAAATACAATTTTCTTGTTTACTTTTTCTTGTTTCTCTCTCTCTCTTTTTTTTTTTGTTTAGTTCGCCCGAGTCATATCGTTTTATCTATAACGACCATCGACATTGAAGTTGCTTCAATAACTTCTACGTTCTAGTCGAAGTCATCGTTATCATTAATTGATGTTATTCATTAAATACAAATTGATCATCAAGAATATCTCCAGTTTCAAATTTTTAAAATATACATATGTAAGCATGTGCGTGCGATAAGATCGTTAACATAATTAGATCATATCTGATGTAACGGCAATACATTAGTAAATAGTTGGATTATAATAGTATTACTATTAGGCTAACAAGAAAAGTTTCTAAATGTTTTTGTTATTACACATTAACGAATGCATTATGAGAAACATTAAAATGTCTTTTATCTTTTCTAACGAGAAAGATAAAGTTATCTGTTTACTACAATTTTATCATAAATATTTCATTCTCGTTAATGTTATCTAATTTCTATATTGTATACTATGTCAAATATATACGACATTATTATATGTATACATCCTAATGTATACATTTATGTAAAAAAATATAATAATAATAATAATAATAATAATAATAATAATAATAATAATAATAATAATAATAATAATAATAATAATAATAATATATATATATATATTTATAAAATATAGTAACCAAAAAGTTATGAATGTATATAATATTACACTATTTACATATATCTACATAATTAATATATATAACATATTATCTTCATATATATATATATATATATATATATATATATATATGAAAAAGAAAAAGAGAGAGAGAGAGAGAGAGAGAGAGAGAAAGAAAGAGAATATTATTAAAAAAATATGACATAAATAAATAAGAGAAAAACATCGGTCATTTCAACATCTTGTTCGAGTGACACATTCTGTTAAATTATAATCTGAATTATTTATTCAAAATTAGTTATTGACGACATCTTTGCTAATAGACAAGTATAAGAAAAAGAAAAAAGAAATAAATAAATAAAAAAATACCACGCGAGAAATCGATTCGAGGAATATCGCGCAGTTAGGATTATTATAAAATCGCGAAAATTTCGCAAAATATTTATACGTTTCGATAAAAATTATGTTCTTTCGTGTTGACGATATCTTTCAAATGACATGCAGAGAATGCTCTCGAAAACAGATGTCGAGTGGCCTCATCGAGTGTTGACTTCCGTTCGTTCAATTTCTTCTTTTTTTTTTCCCCGAACATATGACACATGTATACGTCGACAGATACATACTACATACGTACATAAATACATAAATATATACACACATGCACACACACACACACACAGACACACACATATATATATATATACATATATATTTATATGAAAGAACAACAGAAATAAAAAAAGAAATTGAAAGATAAACAGTTCTCAATATTTTTTCTATTTTTTTCTTTTGCGTGTGTATGTGTATGTGTGTGTGTGTGTGTGTGTGTGTGTATTTTCGTGTACACGTACAGACTTATACACGTTTGCATTATCAATATACAAATAAATTTGATTAAAAATTAAACACGCTTCTTGACAATAACATATTATGTTTTTTATCAATTTTATATACGTACGTACGTATGTGTGTACACACATAAACAGACACATGCGTACACATACACATACATACATACACACACACACACACACACATACATGTAACTTATATACGTGACTGTGTAATACGTGTACGAACTTTATTTGTTTTTCAAGTGAGTCGTCACATCAACAGCTATCCAATGAATATCGCTGATGTAAGAAGCTAAATTCGTAGACCTGACCTGTGACAACGATATGTGACTAACGGAGGACACCCGGTAGATATATTTTGTTAAGGTCGATATGTATATATGTATATAATCTTTTTCAATTTCTTTAAGTTCTTTTTATAGATGTTCTCATTCGTGAAATGTTTCAATGTTTATACGCATATTTTCGTAATTCCATCATTTTTCTATTTCTTCTTTTTTTTCTCTTTTTCCTCTCAGTTCTTTTGTTTTTCATTCCTTTTTTTTTTTAAACAGCAGAACATCCATTATCCTATTTTTTACTGTGCCTGGGGCGCAATCAATGATCGGCGGTACTATACTTTGTGGACTTTACTAAAAACGTTTTTATAACTTGTTTTTCTTTTTTCTTTTTCTTTTCCTTTTTTTTTTGTTATTTATAAGTGTCTAAAAGGATAATTTTTTATCACGAGTAAAGTCTAATATACAAAAAAAAATGAAAAAAGAAAAGAAAAGAACAGAGAAAAAAGAAAGAAAGAAAGGAGAACGAAAAAACTTATGAAGGTAAATTCTACTGTATTTCTTTATATAAAACGAAAAAAAAATAGAATTTCTCAAAAATGCAAGTGTCAATCAAGTATCAATCTCACACACTTGTAATTGGTATTTCATTAATATAATTCTCAATTGTATTAGACTTCGTATCTAAGAGGGACATAATCCGAAGATCACAAAGATCACAATCCAAAATCAAATGGAAGACGAAGAAAAGGCTAATGCACTATAATCGTATAAAAGCTGATGAATACTCGGCGGATTTGACCCTTGTCAGCATCATGAATGATTCAGTTAGCGAACTTTGGTTGACGGGTCGTTACTGTGTAATGGAAAAGTATGAATTTCCTATGATGCTACAGTGTTATATAGCTACGTCGAATTTGATATTTCGTTATTCCACTCAACTCTCGAAATAATCATAACCCAAAGTTCTGTTCAAATAATTTCTTTGCATTTCATAATTCTTTGTCCTTTAATTTGCTTTCAAATATGCCAAAGCATACCTATAATATTCTCTCAATAAATATATATATATAAATAATATTATTATATATATTATATAATATATATTATAATATATATATATATATATATAATGAATATATAATGAAATATATATATATATATTTCATCCCACCTGCGCAGTTAGCCACTGCGCAATTAGTCTCTGCGCAGAAAGTCCTCCCACCTGCGTAGTTAGCCACTGCGCAATTAGTCTCTGCGCAGAAAGTCCTCCCAACTGCGCAGTTGGCCACTGCGCAGGTAGTCTCTGCGCAGTAACTCCTCCCACCTGCGCAGTTAGCCACTGCGCAGGTAGTCTCTGCGCAGAAACTCCTCCCACCTGCGCAGTGGCTAACTGCGCAGGTAATCTCTGCGCAGTAGCCCCGCCCCCTGGAAGTTTAGCCCCGCCCCCTGGTAGTTTAGCCCCGCCCCCTCGGAGCTTGGCCCCGCCCCCTCGGAGCTTGGCCCCGCCCCTTGGTAGTTTAGCCCCGCCCCCTGGTAGTTTAGCCCCGCCCCCTGGTAGTTTAGCCCCGCCCCCTCGGAGCTTGGCCCCGCCCATTGGTGGTTTAGCCCCGCCCCCTGGTAGTTTAGCCCCGCCCACTGGTGGTTTAGCCCCGCCCCCTGGGGTACTTGGCCCCGCCCCCTGGTAGTTTAGCACCGCCCACCTACTATTCGAGGAATATTGCGCAGTTAGGATTATTATAAAATCGCGAAAATTTCGCAAAATATTTATACGTTTCGATAAAAATTATGTTCTTTCGTGTTGACGATATCTTTCAAATGACATGCAGAGAATGCTCTCGATAACAAATGTCGAGTGGCCTAACTTATATAATATTCTGTTAATAATTCTCTCAATATATATACATACATATATATTGCATCCCACCTGCGCATGTGGTCTCTGCGCAGAAACTCCGCCCAACTGCGCAGTTAGCTACTGCGCATGTGGTCTCTGCGCAGTAACTCCTCCCACCTGCGCAGTTGGCCACTGCGCAGTAACTCCTCCCACTTGCGCAGTTAGCTACTGCGCATGTGGTCTCTGCGCAGAAACTCCTCCTACCTGCGCATGTGGTCTCTGCGCAGAAACTCCTCCTACCTGCGCAGTTAGCCACTGCGCAGTAACTCCTCCCACCTGCGCATTTAGCCACTGCGCAGTAACTCCTCCCATCTGCGCAGTTCGCCACTGCGCAGGTAGTCTCTGCGCAGTAACTCCTCCCTCCTTCGCAGTTCGCCACTGCGCCGGTAGTCTCTGCGCAGTAACTCCTCCCACCTGCGCAGATAGCCACTGCGCAGGTATTCTCTGCGCAGTAGCCTCGCCTCTGGGGTACTTGGCCCCACCCCTACTTGGTTATCCACGCCCCCTGTGGTATTTGGCCCCGCCTGCTACTAGGGTGTTCCCATCCCCTGGTTACTTGGTCCCACCTCCTACGAGATTAACGCCGCCTCTTGTGGTACGTGCCCTCGCCCTCCTACTAAGTTAGCTTAGCAGTGTATTTAGTCATTCGTTCTCTTTCTTTCTCATTCTCTTGTAGTATAAAAGAAGTTCTTCTAAATTTCAGGTAGATTGACTTTAAATAGCCACATAAAAATTTAAATTCCTCGATGATGTAACAGTGTTCATGCAGAGTATTTTCCTGAAAAAACATGCAATATACATCAATTTGTAGATTCATGTAATGAATAACGTAGATTCATGAGATGATTTATTTACACAGATTCAAGTAATTAGTATGTAGATTCGTTTGATCGATATACGGACAAGAAAAAAATTTTGTTGTTAAAGAAATTGGAATAAAATATTTACAAGAATTTTATAATGATTATTAAATCGTATTGTAAAATTAATATTATCTCTATTATTTCAATGTTAAATAATTATCCTTCATATATAACGAAGAAAAGAAATTCTTACCTGAATGTTTAATCTTAGAATTAATCAATTAAAATGATTTAAGCTTAATAAATAATTCAAGCTTCGTATGCGACGGGTTAAATGTATAATAAGAGAATAAGGGAGAAAAAGAAGAAGAAGAAAAAGAAAGAAAGGAAAAAGAAAGAGGAAAAGAGAAAGGACGAAAGAGGAGAGACAAAAGTTTAGACCATCTATGAGTTTTAAAGTGAAAATACGTAGCACTATAATGATCGACGACAGAAATACATACGTGTACGTGCATATACGAGCATATAAGAATCTAACCAATAGCAAACGATTATTCTAGAGATATAGCAATTAGACGCAAAGAAATATCTTTAATCTGTTTGAATTGGAATGTTTTGTACGTATCATTTAAAGGTATTCGTTCCAAAGGTCGTCTTCCTTGTTAGATTCTCGTCTGGCGCATTCATTATGCTCATATATCTTTTCTCTCTCTTTCTCTCTCTCCCTGTCTTTCTCTCACTTTTGCTTTCGGCAGACATCATCAACAATATTCTAAACTTGTAATCACGACCTAACGCAACATAGCCATATGACGACAACTACATACTATACGACTAAGGCAACAAAGATATTTTCATTTTTTTCGTTTATCTACAAGTATTTACATACGTACATACATGTACGCGCGCACGTGTGTGTATCTATGCATATGTGTGTGTGTATTAAATATCTACGTAATATGTTTTTGTTTATCTCTTAATAATCGTCGCCGAGCCATGCGAAAAACAAAAAAGAAATAAAAAAAGAAATATAAGCATGTCAGTGATACGAAAGATGAAGTTATCGCATAACAAATATTATCGCGAGAACGAACACATTTTAAATTGCGACGTACAAATATTACATGCGTACTTATGTATTATTATATTGTGTTTATATTCTTTGAAAATTTTGAAAAATTTTTTTCTAAACGGTTCCTATTACATAGAAAACTTGTCCGTGTTGTAAGATTGTCGTAGAAAAAAAAGAGAAAAAAAAAATAAAATAAAAGGAAAAAAAATAATGACAGATTTTAACTAATTCACACGATTCGTTGAATTTTACACGAAGTAAATATATTGTGTCTGTATCTATCTCTTTCTCTCTCTCTCTCTCTCTCTCTTTCTCTCTCTTTTATTTCCTCTTTTTCTCTTTTTCCCCTATTTCTTTTTTTTTCAATTTTATTTCTCATAAATCTAAGTTATATTAAGCAATCGAAAATAGAACGATTGTAAGAAACACGTTATTAATATTTTTCCTATCTCTGATGACAATAATAATATATGAAAATTTCAGTTCGCGTTTATGAACTCTGAAAGATACACGTCGTTCGTCTCGTCTTAAGGAATTCTTTACGAACAGATGTTCCAATACGCACTTGAGCAAAAAGATATATAAAACAATCATATCATAACAATTGAATTGATAAGAATGATTTTATTATAAATAATATTATGTTTTAAATAACATATTAATTTCTTTTTGTTTACCGACAAGTGTAAAAAAAAAAGAGAAGGAAAAAAAATATTTGTTCGATTTGAAATCGAATAAATAAAATATTATCGTATTAGAAGGTTTATCCGAAAAATTCGTGGCTTCGTTTGAGCAACGATATTTCGATGAAACATTTATTATTCGTTGATTATTGAAACAGAAGTTTTCCTCTTTGTTTTTTGTTTTCTTTTTTATTTTTTCATTTTTTTTTTTTTTTTTTTTAATTTCCATAAAGTTATTCATACAAATAAGACTTTATTATTTAAACGTCGTTTTCCATTTGTATATAATTTCAATTTGTAAAAACAAAAAAAGAAATTATTTTTCGATGAAACACTTGAACGTGAATCATTGTAAAAATTATTATACAAATAATTGAATTAAAACGAAATAAAAAATATTTTTTTATATATTTTGAAATATATGATATATACGTTGATATATATATATAACATATATATATATATATATATATATATATATATATATATATAAAATCATAAATTAATAAGAATTTCAATAAACATCGCGTATAGAATTTGGCAAAATACGAATGGATTTTAACCAAATTGCAAATTTGACTTGTAAGTTCAATCGATTTAATCCATTTCATTTATTTTAGTTCAATCAAACACCGTTTGACGTAACCAATGCACCGTGACATAAAGCTCGGCTTTAGTTTACAAACCGGATCGAGAGATGGGAGTATTCGTTGTGGGCACCATAATATATAGTAGTTGTGTAACGTGATCTCGATCGTAGAGTAACGGAGGATCGTATGTCGGTGGTGGAGGATGCCTGGCATTGGCACCAATCGCAGTGACTTCGAAAAAGTAGGTTTCTGGAGCGACAGCTGCACCAATGATACCCGGCAAACGATAATAACAACAATGACAACGCGATAACATTCGAATATGGTCCTGGAAACATTTTTCATGTTGACTAAGGTCATCCTTCATTGAGAACATTTTATTATCAATTTACATGAATAACAAAGAGTTTTCATTTCTCTATTCCTTTTTCTATTAATAAATTAATATATTATATATCTTTCGTCATAATAATTAACAAAATACATGATACTTTGTTATACGCATATATATATATATATATGTATATATGTATTTATCTAACGACAACATTTTAATATAGCCTTCATTTACAATTATCATAACGAAAACTTTGTTAATTTATTATTGTAAAATTTAATAAATTAATAATAATAATAATAAAGAATATACGTATGTATGTAAGAGTAAATCCTTGTAATGAGATTTACAAAAAATCGACATTTATTCATTCGTTCTTTTTTTTTTCTTTCTTTCTTCTTTTTTTTTTTTTTTTAATGCTCAAGATCATAAAAATATATACTTGAAGCGAACAAAAGAAAAAGAAAAATCATTAGACTGAAATTCGAAACGTTAATATTAACTCTTTCTTTTCTAACGTTTTATTAATTTTTATAAAATTTCTTAATAAATCTTTACTTTTGAAACGTTCAATCAGATACACACATATAGATTGTTTATTTATATTATTAAATAATAACAAATTTTTTAATTGAATTTCTTTCTCTCTCTCTCTCTCTCTCTCTCTCTCTCTCTCTCTCTCATATTAATTCGTACAATATAATATTTAAAATATCAGTATACATATTTTATTTTTAATTATTATTAATAAAAATAATAATAATAATAATTATTATTATTATTATTATTATTAAAACTAAGTAATAAAAAGTTTTAATTGAATTTTGTTCGTTCTCTTATTGTTTTCTATACAAATTACATTATCAAATAATTATAACAGACTATAATATCATCGATGATAGACCAATAATCATGATTTTTCTGATTATAAATTATGAAGACTTATAATAAGGTATTCGAAAGAGAACCTCCTCTTTCTAGTTAAAAGAAACCGTGTGAAAACGCGTGATAGGCTCGTCGGAAGATATAGCAAACGATAAATTAATCGATCTATTATTAGCCTACGCGATCTATCCGTTTACGTAAAGAAAATGTATTCGCATTCAAGATACCTTTCTCTCTCTCTCTCTCTCTTTCTCTCTCTCTCTCTTTCTTTCTCTCTCTCTCTCTCTCTCTTTCTCTCTCTCTCTCTCTCTCTCTCTCTCTCTCTTTATCCATTTATCTTTATCTATCTCATTCTATTGCATATCAAACGGGTCGTGCGTAATTGACATTAGAGGTACGCCAATAATTACACGTACGGAGATAATAATGTTGCTTGCATAACGATTGTATCGAATTGACCCCATACTTTGTTACTTATGAATTAATTTGTTTTATGCAAAATGCATAGACAATAAAATATATTATTTTCGTTAACGAATAATATAACGAATAATAATAATTCCAATTATATATGGATTTCGTATTTTTCAAATTTTCAATCGAATTTTCAAATAAAATTTATATTTCCTTTTTCTTCATTTATTTTATTATTTCATATCTTAATTATCTATTCTCTTTATATTATTAATAATATAATATATAAAAGAATGTAAAATTTCTTCTTAAGATATTTCAAATTTTATAATTGTACAAACATAAAAATGTTCTTCTTACCTACTACGTATTACGTCTTAACAGTTACGCGTCTTTTCGTAAACTGAATGCCTGTGTCGATTATTATGTTCGATCTGTCTGTCCTTTTATCCTTTCTTTCTTTGATAACAAAACAAAAACTTATTCACGTCCTGCCTATGCGAATGCTCCTATACATGTACACACACACACACATATATACATATACACTCATTCTCAAAACAAACCTTCGACAAATTCTCAGTTCAGATAGTTACGCTATGACGTAACGAGAAACGATTTACACACATATATATATATACACACATACACACATACACAAAGCTTACTCCATACTTTGTATCATAGCGTCTAAGAAAATACTTGATACCATCTATATATATATATATTTTTTTTTATTTATATTCTTCTCATCCTATATACATTATATATATATATATATATATATATATATATATATATATATATATACATGTATAGGAATAATTAAGGAATAATTATGAACACTTTGAAAATATCCTTTTTTTTTTGTTTTTTTTTTTAGAGATACGGGGAAACTTTGTCTACAAAATTATTACTATACGAAAAAAGTCATAATATGGCGGTAATAATTTTTTTTCTAAGTTGACGCATAAAATACATATGAAGGTCAACTGAGTTATTTTAAATCATATATTTTTTATTACATTCATCGATGCAACTCAACATTCTAAATGGAAAAGTATTAACTCGTATATGCCGAAAAAAATTATTAGTTTAGAAGATATTTCAATTTAAATATTCAATTTAAATATATTAAGAAATCATATAGCGATAAGACGACTAAAACGTAGTGAAAATAATAGTACTAACTTCGCATTCATTATACTGCATTTATTTTGCGCTTACTTAGCGCTTACTCTGCGCGCTTGCTTAGTATATATTTGTTTCGAGTTTCTACGACTTTCAGTTTCGAAGATATCAGCACTCAAATGAACGACGTAGATGGAACGTCGAAAAAAAAAGGAACGTTTCCTCGATGAAGAAATAATTTGTTTTATTAATTATTTATTAATTTATATAATTTTATAAATCGCTCGTAATCTCAATTTCTTTTATTTTTTATATTTTATTTATTTACTTTTTTTTTGTTTTTAGACAAAATAAAATGAATTTATTTTCGTAAGAATTTATTTGTAACAAATTATTAATTAATTATTAATGATATGCAGAGAGAGAGAGAGAAAGAGAGAGAGAAAATTTTTCCCTTTAAAATGATGTTTAAATCAAGTCTCTATGACTTTTAGTTCCAGAGATATTGTCACTAAATGAAAAACGTTTACGTTGTGCCATTAATCTATGTAATTTCATTCAAATTTGCTCGGTAATACACTGACCTATATAAATTCTGAGAATTTACGTTGACCAGCTGGACAACGTAGTACTACTATATCTATTACTACAAACAGCTGTTAGTATTGGTATTATGAATGAAAATCTTTCAAAGGTAATATCTTCGAAACGGAAAATTGTAGAGACTTGAAACCAGTACCATTTTCAAATATAATTTATTCTTTATTTATTAAAATATTACAATAATATTGATATAATAAAATCGATTTTTGTTAATAAATTTTTTTCAATAGAAATTTTTCTTTTACTTTTATAATGAAGTTATAATTCGCAATGAAATCATTTCTATTTCTATGAAAATTAAATAAATTTTATATTGTTCGTATAAAGAATAAAATAATAATAGATCTATTAATAATCGATATTAATAATTAATTAATAATCGACATTGAAAGAATGGAAAATTTTTCTTTGTAATTTTCTTATTATTACTATTTATTTATTACTACTCTTATTACATATTTGTCATATCTATAAATAATTTAGAGATATGTGTGTATATTAACTGTTGTTTTATTGTTGATATCAATAAAAAAAAAAAAATAACTCAATTAAATACTTTCATTACCATTTAATAATTATGTAAATTAATTATATTTAACTGAGGAAACGTACATTAATTATATACACATACATATACGTACACATATTTGTGTGTGTGTATATGTGTGTGTCTGTATGTTATATATATGAGAGGAAGAGAAAGGAAAAAGATACGAAAGTGTATTATCAAAAAATTACTTTATCACTCCTCAAATTTCGATTACTTAAAAACTAAATAAAATCTTCATTTATTAGAAATAATACATTTATAGAAATTTTTTTATTATATTTTTATATAGAATTTTTAATAGGAAACATATAAATGGTTTTCTTTATTAACAAAATTATTTTTACATCGCTTAGATGAAAAGTAACGATAATAAAATCAATTACAAAATTGTATTCTTTTTGATATCGAATAAATAATAAAATAAAATAATATTTGCTCATCGCATACCAAAATTAAAATTGTTAATTAAAATTGTTCGTTAAAATTATTATGCTCTCATATAATATCCTTTATGCGAGGTAATTTTTTTTTCCATAAATTCATGATGATATCCCATTAACGGAAATATGAAAGTAGCGTTACTAAATTCCTATTTTGATGGTATTAAAAATTAATTTCACTATAAATAAATAAAATATAATCTCTTAGTATGTATGTATATGTATATATATATGTATAAAAACTTTTCGTGCAGCGATACCCATTATAAAATACATTACGAAATAAGTAAATAAATAAATAAATAAATAAATAAATAAATAAATAAATAAATAAGTAAATAAATAAATATGAAAAGTAAATTTAAATAAATTATAGCCCTTTTTCTTTTTTTCTTTTCATCATAAATTATGCCTTTTTTTATCGACGTGTTTTATTTTTTAATGACGAGTACTCGTAACACTCTCCATCGCTACTGGAACAACAATCGCATGAAGAACAGCTGCAAGAGGTCGAGGATTGTTCTGAAATTGAATGATTTTTTTTTCTACTTTATTTTTTTTTATTTTTATTATTAACGTGTCATTGAAAGAGTAACACATTTTTTATGTATATAATTTAATTAATGTCACGAATCATGCCAACTAGCAATAATATCCTCTTAATAGTGTAAACAAACTAATTAAGAATGTAATTTTTTTAGCTTCATTTAAGTGAATTATTAATCAAAAGAGATTAGAAAAATTCATCAATGTGATATGATAAAAAAAGAATTCTTTATTATTTACTAACAAAAAAAGAAAAGAAATATTCTTTTCCCTTATGATTTTAAGAAGAAAATCATAATGTTTTGTTTTTTTCTCTCACTCGATCATGAATGAAAATTATTTTGTTCAAATAGCTTCTAATGAATGATTTATTTGTATTAAATAAAAAATTTGCTGACTAAGATAATTTCATGGTAGAAATCGAAATACGAAAAGGACGGAGGATACGTTTGTAAGAAAGAAAAAAATAGAAAAAAAAAAAAAAAATAAAGAAAATGTTCGATCAACATTCATAATTCGACTTACTTGTAGATCGTGTAGATTTTTTCTTGGACGCTTTCGTTTTTCTACTTTTTGTCTTTTTTGACTTTTTCGAAATCTTTCCCTTTGACCTTCCTTTATTACTTTTACGTGATATCAACTCACATTGGTTATTACAATCGGAACATTCGGAACAATCGGAACAATCCGAACAATCGGAATAATCGGAACAATCACAATCGGAACAATCGCAATCAGAACTATCGCTATCGGAACTATCTGAAGTATCGATGAAACAATTATCACCTTTCAAACAGCGCAGTTCATTTTTATTTTTAGTTATTCCTTTACGTACTTTTTTTATTTCTCTTTTCGGTGCCATTTCTAACAGAAAGAAGAAAACAAAAATATATGATGAAAAAAAAATATATATATATATACACACACACACACACACATAATACATATAAATGTAAAAAAAAATGTAAAAAAAATGTATAAGTAATATATAAATATAAAAATATTTATAATAAATATATGAATATATAATAAGTGATAAAAAGTATTAATTATATTAATTATATAATTATAAAAAATAATATAGAACCAAATATATATATATATATATATATATATATATATATATATGTATGGTGTGTATGTATGTATATATGTATATATATATGTGTGTGTGTGTGTGAATAATATTAATAGAAAAAAAATGAATATAAAAGAAAAACAAATAAGAATATTATTTTTTTTGAAATTTATCCATTATCTTTTCAATACTCTTCAAATATATATAAATTTATTTAATGACTCGATGATTTTTGTTCCTAGACGTAATAACCATAATTAATATTTGACATCACTGATTCCTAAAGTATAAGTATGTATATTTATAACGCTCGAATACGATTTTGGCAAAACATATTTCGACTTTGTCCGATCGGGCATCTCATCTCGTATATAAACACATTTCGAAGGACACTTAAATAACTTTTCGATGATTTGAAATAAACACTGTTAGAAATTAAATTAAAACATATATTTTCGATATAACATTCTAGTTTTAATTAACCGAACGAAAAGGAATCATTTTAATAAAAATTTCAATTTCATATTCAATTGAAATTTTTCTTTAACATTATATAAATAAACGTTTCTTTGATTAGAAACGATTAGAAACAGTATAATAACAATTAACGTGTAAATTTGTAACATTAATCGATGTACTTTTCTTGTTAATTATTATGTACTTGCAAAAAATTATTTACGTAAGATCTTGTATTATATTATTATTAAAAGAAAAAAAAAAAGAAAAATTCATACCTGTTGATTTAGGCGACGAGAAAAAATATTTGAAACCTTTTACTTGCCAAATATAAACGTGATTAAATATATATTTAGTAGAGAAAGTTTAAACAAATTTTCTTTAACGAATAAAATTTTTGATGAAATTTATCGTAAGAAAATCGAAATAAGAAAGTATTTATGATCTTCGTATATAGATCTATGAGGATCTCTGGTTGCGATCTAACACTCAATAAAGACATTTTGTCCTTCTCATAAATATTTATATATAGATATGTACATGGACGGACAGACAGAGTGACGCACACGTATATATAAATACTATTGAAATATTCGATCCTATTCGATTCTATTGATTTATTCATCCAATTCGATTCGATAATATATATCTTTTCAAGTTTAAACTAACATCATTAGAAATTCTAATCACCTAATATTAATATTTTTAATATCGTAATAATTGTTCGAAGAAAAAAAAAAAGGTTCATAATATATTAGTTTCTCTATGGTATTTCAATGATTCGTATCGACGAATTTCATGTATATTATTATACGTAAAATTTACTAACATGAGTAGAAATTAGAACATAAGAACATATACGATACATTCGAAGTAATGCCAGATTACGAATCATTATGCAACACGAATATTGACGCAATCCAATCCTAGGCAACGAGCCGATCTATGCGAAATCTTGAATCTGATATCACACACACACACACACACACACATACAGACAGACAGACACATATATATATGTATGCATAAATAATTCTTACATCCATATATATAATTAGTTAAGTAAGAGAAATGATAAAGAACGTGACTGATTTAAAATCAAAAGATTAATATTTCCCATTATTCTTTTTTTTTTCTTTTTTTTTTTTTTTAATTAACAAAATAAATAAACAACAAATATAATTATTTTTTAAGTATATATATATATATATATTTTTTTTTTAATTAAATAATTTGTTAAAAAGAAAAAAGAAAGGGAAGTTATTACATAATAAATTTTAATTTATTCATATAGAATAATTAATTAAATATATTAAAGGAAATAAAGGGAAAATGTTATTTGGTTATAATTAAATATATCCTTTATATAAGTAAATGAATAGATTAGATTAAATTAAACTTAATTCACCCTATATATATGTATATATATGTATATATATATATGTATACATACATATATATATATATACATATACATACATATATATATATAAGGCTAAGTAAACGGCTAGCCTATTATATCACCAACAGTTGTATATTCGAAGTGAGAAGGTAGAGTCGGACCGTGAACCCAACAAACAACAATCGAGCACGTTGCAATAGCACACGTGACTTATTCTACAAGAACTTTCCCGTCTTCGTTCATTCGTTTATGTCCTTTTCCCTTTTATGTATCTCCTCTATCATTGTCAATTAGTCTCGTTGTCAGTCACGAGTATATCAATACGAAAAATCTTTTTTTTTTTTGCAAGAAATATTTGACGTTACAATTGTCAACACGATTTGCATTCTTTTTCTTACTTTTACTTTTTCTTCTTAGTTTTTTCTTTTTTTTTCTTTTTTTTTTTTGTTTTCCTTTTTCTCTTTTATCAAGATTTCTTTCAAGGCCAATGATTAACTATAAAACATCGTCCTTTAGAATGAATATACGTGCTGATCGAAAGTTACGTAAATTATGCCAATATACTTTGCGAAATAAAAGGTTCCAGCGGTTAAATGAATTTTTTTTTTTTCTTTTTTTTTTTTAACCAACATACACGGGGTGTCGCATTTTAAACGATATCACGAAATATCTCCGATCGAATATGATTTTATAAATGAATGTTTCGAAACAAAAAAAAAAGAAAAAAAAGAAAAAAAGGCAAAACAAATATTGTTAGCTTTTACGGAGATTGTCGGAAGTGGGAAATGTTATACGTATCGCAGCTATTTCACGGTGAACGTTGTTGTCGCAGATTGAAAAGTCAAGTAACAATTTTGTTTTAAATAAAAATCGATATTTTATGCCAAACAAAAGTTGTCGAGAATATTAATAATAGAATCCAATGAATACTTGAATACTTGAGGTATAACCTTTCATCGATATTTCATTTGTGCGATCGCAACAATAAATTTCTTCTTTCTTCATCGAAAAAGCATCGTGCTTTGAATGATTATAGAACTTCAGAAACGTACGAAGAAAAATATAAATGAAAACAATGAGTAACAAAAAGAAAAAAAAAAAAAAAAAAAAAAAAAAAAATACAGAAAAGAAGAACAAATCCTCTCTAAAGATATTTTCCTGAAAATGAATTTCTCTACAAATTTGATATATTGACAAAAAAAAAAACAAAACAAAAAATGGTCTCTTACGAAATAATTATGATGAACGTTATATTTCCAATTAAAAATTATTAATAACTTTTATTGGAAATATTTCTTTATCAAAGACAATATAATCGGTGATATTTCGCCATATCGTTTAAAACGAGACACCCTATATATATATATATATATATATATATATATATATATATCCATATATACATACATACGTACATAGTTGTTGGGCCAAGATCTTTGTTAGGAAAACTTAATATTAACTCTACTATCTCGCGTTTACCGCTCGATCGATCGAAACCACAAAATTACGACATCCCGTAATACATAGATGATTATTCGCATACAACTAGCCAATATATATGTATATATATATATATATGTATATATATCTAAGTTATTGACGATTATACTTATTACACTCTGTAATCATTTCGTCTCGATTGCATTCAACATCTTAAAATTTTATGCTTTACGAAAGATAGCCTTGTTATTCGTAAATTATTATTTATTGAATTAATTCATTCGAATTAATTACATTCATTTCTTTATTTTCAAGCAAATATCTTCTACCTTTCGGTAGGAAAATTTTCTGAAAAAAAAATATCTTCGAAAAGATCACTTTTTTTTTTTTTTTTTTTTCTTTGTAAAAGTACATTTAAACTCGTATTAAAGGATGATAAAAGTACTTCTTCTTTTTTTTTTTCTTAATTTATTACGCATTGATAATTTGAAAAAAAATGAATAATGCTTTAAATGAAATTTTCTTTCGTGTTTAATTACTTCGAAGATGTTCTTACAATAGGGTTTCTTAAAAATCTTGATTAAAAAAAAGAAAAAAATAACAATATAAATATATATATATATATATATATATATATATATACATATATATATACAATAATATAAAATAATAATAATATGAAACTTTTATAAAAGTTTTATACTAATTCATACGTATCATATACTTCGAAAGAAAATTAATATTTTTAAATGAATCTATTCTTTTTATTTTTAACGTTTAATAACTGGAAAGATCTATGTATAGTCGAATTAGAAATTATTTATATATATATATATATATTTCCTTTTTACATACACGTATGTGTGTATATGTATATATGTATGTACGTATGAGTATCAGCAGGGTTATTATTATACATAATGGTGTATGATGTATGATATTAGCTAAATATTTGCATATCGTTGCAAGATATAATACAGTTCAATTCATCCGCGAAAGTATCTCTTATCTCAATTTTATCTATACATTACATAATCTCATACTCGCTGAGTGGTCACTATAAATATTCTAAAAGTTCTTTCAGCTTCAACATATGTTATTAATCGTAGATGCAAAGTGCACGCATTACGTATATTTCATTATAAATGAAATACGTAAATCATTAAATAAAAAATTAATTCGACCATCAAATAATTTCATTTTCATAATATAATTCTATATTATAATATTATTACAAATATTAAAAATTTGACGGTTTAATAATCGTAAACATTTCTGTAATACTTTAAATAAGAAATTAATTATATTAAATATTTTTCATTTATTATTTTATTATATTATGATTTAGATTATTTATTTTATTTATTATAAAAGTATAGTATAATAGTATAACAATATTCTAAAGGAACGTGATTCAATATAATAATTAATCACATTAAAAAATAAATATTATCCTATAGTATAATAGTATAACAATATTATAGTATTATAAAGTATAGTATAATAGTATAACAATATTCTAAAGGAACGTGATTCAATATTTATAATAATTAATCAACTTAATAACATGCACATTAAAAAATAAATATTATCCTATATATTATGATTAATTAATTACCTATCCCGTTGTTCCAGATTTTTTTCTCCTTTCTTTGTTTGTTTGTTTGTTTTTTTTTTTTATTCATAATATCATCGTGTCGAATTGCACACATACACACACACACACACACACACACAAAATATGTTTTATTTATAACACGATACAATCTAAGGACTAAATGATCTGTTCAAAACGGATAGAAGAAGAAATTTTTATCATTCTGAAAAAAAGAAGGATGGTAGATAGAAAAAAAATTCAAGAAAATAACAAAATAAAAATCATAGAAAACAAATCTTCTCGAATCGAAAGAAATTTTGATTGAAACTATAACGAGACATATCGATAAGTAGGAAGATAATTTTTATCATCGAGTAGACAACGAACAGGAGACTTAATACGAATTCGTCGATAATTTAAAAATAAAACGAATTCGACTTAGGATAATCCGATTTGTAGACGTTCGAAAAAGATGAAAAGGATGAAATTCGAAGCTGAGAGAGAGAGAAAGAGAAAGAGAGAGAGGGAAAGAGAGAGAAAGAGAATCGACGTTCCAACGTTCCTACTTTTGCCTCTCGGCCCTCTTCTCGTCACTCTACGCCTCTTCCTTTCCACCCCTCTTTTTCCGGCCACTCAGGGATCTCTCGAAAGCATAGTTAACGGCGTTACGTCATCCATCGTGCTTTGCTGAGTCACACCATCGAAACCCCGTCTCTTTATCTGTACATCTCTATCTCTCTCTCTCATTCACTCTCACTCTCATTCTTACTCTCACTCTCTCTCTCTCTCTCTCTTTTTCTCTTTCTCTCTCTTTCCGTCTCTCCCTCTCTCACTTTCTTCGTCGACGAATGTCGGTAAACGTGACTCCTCCCTCGCATTCGTGCCTTTACGCGTGTCTCGGAAATTATATCGTCCCCAAAGAATTCCTAGGATCCCTGATCTATCTATCTCTATCTCTATTTTTCTCTCTCTCTTTCTCTCTCTCTCTCTCTCTCTCCACTTTCTATCAGATACGACTCGACTATGACGTGTATGAAATCGGAAACAATAACGAGTGCAT